GAGAGAGAGAGAGAGAGAGAGAGAGAGAGAAAACAGCTGACTATGAACAGAGACACAAAGAACCCATCCAGTGCTTCAAGCTCTTTATTAAACATCTTAGTTTTCGTTTAAAAAAATGAGCAATTGTGCTTAAAACATCATTCTTATCAATGTGAGAAGTTTAATGAGGGTGCCAGGAAAATTCTTAACCATCCCACCTAGAGTTGACGAGAACAAAACAAGCAATGATTTCTGCCCCCAAAGCAGACTTCCCACAGGCTCTTGCACGCCCCCTTCCTTCTCCTGTTCAGTCAGGAAGAGGAGTTTGGAAGCTTCTGTTGCCAATACAGATTAACTACAATTTGCAATGATATGTTTGTACATTTCCATTTTTCTTCTAGTGAGCTCAGGGCAATATGCATGGCTCTTGATTTCCCTACTTTAGCTTCAGAAATACCCCATGAGACAGGTAGGTCAGGGTAAGTTTCATGCATCAACATGAAACAACTACCCTCGTTCCAGTGCAACACTCTTGCCTCTGTAAACTGGGACTGTTTAAACTGTACAGATGTATCTGCCCTTTTCAGGCATTAAGCTTGAAATTGTGCAAGACTCAAAGGGTGCTCAGGCCAGGGGTGTATATGAAAGCCCTGCTCTCCACCTCCATATCCCACTCAGAAATCATGCAGACTGTCATGTTTAATGTGGAAGTCTGCATAGGTGTCTGAAGACAGTTTAGCTGAATGCACAAGAGTCTGTGTAACCTCCAGGTCATGTGGAGCTGTGAGGGTCAGGTCTGCCTCTGTGCCCGCAACAACAACAACACCCATTGAGTCCTACTCAATATGAAGCACAATGCCAAAATAGGTCTGTTGTCTCTACTGACTGCAACTTTCCAAGGTTTTAAGCAGAGGCTTTTCCTGTAGCAGTCTACCAAGATCCTTTTTTAAAAGGGAAAATATTCCTGCCATCTGGGCTTGCCAGCACATCAGAAAAAAAAATGCCAAGTTTAATCATGTGCCTTTCTAGAAATCAAGCTGCTGTTAAATCAGGAAGTGATTCTATACATGAGCACAAGCACTATATCCTGCATTATTTTGCCCTGGTCCTGCAACTATTAGAGAAAAGATAATGCACTTCACTGAAGTCCAGCATCACTATACTTTACTCATACCTGGTAGATAATCATTCTTCTAAGTCTTCCTTTAGCACAAAGTACCTGAAACTTTAGAGTTAAATAGAAGGGTCATTTTGACCCTACCTTGAAAGTAATGGGAAAAACGATGCACAAAGCACTTAGAATTCCTGCCCTCCCCCTCCAGCTACTGTAGAAGATGATATCAAGTAGTGGCAAATTGAGAGTTTAGAACTGTTGATGTAGAATTGTTATTACTTCCGTAGGAATCATGAAGGATGCCAATAAAAACAAGGCTAATGGGATGTCTTCCAAATGCCTGCACATGAACATTTTCTTTGCATCCTGAAAGTCTGCTATGAAAATAACACACACACACACACACACACACACACACACACACACAGAGCGAGAGAGAGAGAGAGAGAGAGAGAGAGGGAGAGAGAGGGGCAGGGGGAGAGAAGAGGGAGAGGGAGAGAGAGAGACTTTTTCTTTCTCATCACAGCATATCCCTTCACTCAGTGTAGAGTTTCCAAGAGCCGACACTGGCCGGTGCAACCAAATCAATGCTCTCTGCCTAAAGAGTGAGTCTATTTATGTACTGTATCTCATTGAGATAATAGAAGTGGCTGAAAATAGTCTGCACAGCACATAAGCGTCCCGGAGGCAATTAGCTTATCACAGGGTCCTGCGTTGGCTTCTGGTGCTCACTGACCATGGGCTGTCACGGAAGGGTACTTTCCAATGACCTTTTTTTTCGATAGCAAATTCTTCATTTGACGCACATTAAATGGGCTTTACACAGCCAGGTTGTAACACCTCTGCGGAAGGGAGAAGATGGGCAGAAGGGTAGCGAGTGCAATGGATGGAAGGAGATCCTAGGACCAGGGCAACTGGTGGCTGCAAACTGGCACCCACAACCGTTAAAAGGGGTTTAGCTGGAGTACACATTCCAATTCAACACCGACATGGTGGATCTTAAATACAGCACAAAAATGTAATGATTCAGGGGGATCAACACTCAAGTATACCCTTCAGCCCACAGAAAAATGACTCATGTAGCAATGGACTTGTAAATCCCACCATCCCATTATCTTTAGAGCCTTTAGGGTTCTGCAGCTATTCTCCCTCCCTTTGTCCAGTGTTTTGCTTGAGCTGGAGCACAGGTAAACAGCTCTAAAGCCTTTACATCTGCTTCCCCTATACTTCTACTGCAAATTCTCTCCCCTACGAGCCCAGCTTTGCTATCACACTCCCACCAGCCTCAGAAGCAAATAAATCAAGTTGACCCTTGTAACTGCCTGTGTGCGCATCTCTTCCTCCCCCCCTCCATTTCCCAACTCCCTGGAATAGCCCCAAGGAGCTATTGCCAACCTCCACCGGTTCAGACGGCCAGGGCTCCTGCCTTGGGATGATAAATCTCTTCTGGCTGAATGGTTATCTCTGACAGGTCAAGAGATAGAAAATGAGGAGAGAGGAAGGTGCCTGGGTGAGATATAGGCACACCGTAAAACAACGTGCTCCAGTCATTTGAAGGGACTGTTTGGATAACTAACCAAACATTGGATCAGCCCACAGAAGGAAAGCCTGCAAGGTGGGAGAGCGAGGGAGGCTTTTAAGAGCCCAAGACTCTGGTAAAGGAGGGAAAGGAAGGAGATCAGTGGGGAAAGAGAGCCAGAGCGAGAGCTCCCACAGTCTCCAGTAGCAGCATCCACCCTCCGAGGAAAGAGCAACCTTGCCTAGTAGAGCGGCAAACTTAATTTTCCATCTTCGCTTCATCTAGATAACCATGAAAATACAGTAATTGAAAGGAAACACACACACACACCCTTCGCCTCAGCTACTTTTCCTTCTTCGGCCCCCTTCTTGTTTGGAATCAAACAGCTTCTGTTCTTTCTCTGGGTCATACGCGAGTTTTTGACAAACAGATGCTTGCTAAGGATAGAACCGGGGCGGGGGGGGGGAAGAGAGAGAGGGCAGCTACGGAGTTCAAAAAGGGGGGGAAAGAAGCGCGCGCGCACTCGCACAAAAGAGAGCGCCTCGCGCCCCCTCACTCTTCTGCTGGGCTTGGAAAAGCAACCCTTGGGGGAGGGCGGGGGGCGGCGGCGAATGGCCCGTCCCGCCATTGTCCTCAAGAGGCCGCGGGTTCTTCTCGCCCCCCCCTCCCCGCCCCGTTGGAATTCCGAACGCGGGCGCCGGAGCTCTTTCCGGCTGCTCCGGCCAATGAAGTCACAGGCTCGTCCACCGAGGCGGGCTGCGAAAGGCAAGCGGGCGAGGGAGAGAGAGAAGAGGGCAAGGTCCTTCGCCGGGCAGGGGGGGAGAACGGATGATGTGGGAGGGGCGCCCCTTGGACGCCCCCGCCCGCCCAGCTTCGTTTCTGGGCTGCTTTTCCAACCCTGTTCCACCCCTGGAAAGCAGCTTTCTAAAAACAAGAGCCATTTGCTCTTGAGGAGATAAAGAGAGCCGAGCCCTCTGCGCGAAGCCGCCCGAGATCGGTTGCTTTGCTCCGAAAAGGCGCGCGCGTGCCTCGAGGAGCCGCCCGTCCCCTTCGCGCGACACGGTTGTCTCCTCAGCCGGGAGGCGAGGGTTGTACCCTTCGAGCACCGAACCCACCCGCGCGTCCCTTTTTTTTTTGCAAGGGACGGGAGCAAGGCTTCTCGCTCGGCTCTTCACAGACTATCATCCCCCCCACACACACACCGGCCCCGGAACCACGTGTTGCATTCTTCTCCGTCTCCCCGGCAGCCAGCTCGCCGGGGCGGCAGGCGTGCACAGGCACACACGCGCCCACAAACCCATCGCCTCGGAAGGGAGGCGAAGCTTTGTGGACCGACCGGGACTCCACAGCTGGGGGCTTGGAGGCGGCCCCCGCTTTTGCCAAACCTTAGCATCGCGGGCTGATTTTCGCCGACGCCCGTCTCATTCACTCCGGCTTGCACGGGAGATCGCGCACGCCCCATCCTAGCCCGAATTGAAGTTCCTTTCAATATTGCGCTTCAGGCCAAGTTAAGCTGCACATTTCACATTACCTTGGGCCCCACCCCCCACAAAAAACTAATTCTTGGCAAACCTATAGTATATCGGACCGAGTCTCTGGAAGGCACAGAATCGGGCTGCCAAAGCACACTGCGCCCTTTCTATTCAGCAGGGGTGACCGCTCCGCCTCTCCTTTAAAGCCTCCTTTTTATTGCGACCCACCCACTCAGCCCCACCGTCTCTTCAGCCTGCTTCTTCCCTCTCCTTGGTCTCCCGCCTTCCCATACCGCTTTGATCTCTTGATTACTTTGGGAGAGGCGTTGCAGTCCCGCAAACCGACCACCAGCCCGAAAACTTGCCCCTGATCACTGCCCGCAACAAAACTAACCCCTTCCTCCCCACCCTGCCCAAAGCGCAGATCGCGGCAGAGGAGGGGGGAAAAATCATTCGCGAACTCTCCGAACACACATTGTTCCTCTCCGTCTCTTTTAATCGTGTTACTTGCTCACACCTCATCTTTACAGCACCGCTTAAAAAAAAACCGCCTTCACTCTCTCTTATGTTCTTGCCTGGTGCTGTTTTCTTTTTTTTCTTCCCTCTCTTAAAGAAAGGAGCGTTTCCTCCCCTCTTTATCTTTCACCCTCGCCGCCCCTTCTCACTCAAGCGGAGCCGATTCACAAGACCGGGGCGGGGGAAACGGCTCTGTTTCCACCAAGCCTTCGGGAGTGAGGCACACACCTCATTCTCCAAGCCGTTCAAGATCTTTCCATTGCTCTCCAGTTGCAAAGCTTTGGTTTTGCAGAACGCCGGTGGCTGCTGAACACTTCCCCCGCACGCTACCCTCCAACCCGCACCTAGGGGTGGTGGTTCACAATTAGCAGCCCCCCTCCTCTGCCCCCCCTCGATTTACCTTGGGCTCTGACCGGAGGGGCGCCCAGGAGAGCGAAGATCACACAACACGTTATCTCCAAACAGTTGGTAGTCCCTGCCATGCTGACCAGACTCTGGAGCAACGGGCTTGGGGTGGAGGAGAACTTCCAAAGTACTTGACAGATCTCTCTCTCTCTCTCTGTATATATATATATATATGAGAAACAGGGAGTGCTGAATAATCCCTGATTTTTCTGTCGCTTGCGGCCGGATCCTCACAGGAACAGGAAGACTGGCGGAGCGGTGTAGGGAGCTCCTTGCTTTTCACTTTTTTTAAAACAGTCCTTTTGGCCCGATCTCAGAAGAAACCGCTCCTCCGACGCCTTTCGGACCAAGGCCGCACACAGCAATCCGGGAAGGGAATAATTAGATCCCACTGAAGCCTGCCTTCCCCAGTGAACTCTCCTTCCCCCGCAAAGAAAAAAGAAAAAGAAGGGGCTCTTGCGAAGGCGGCCCCAGAGGCGTCATCTTGGTCCAGCAAAGGATTCTGGCGGGCGGGGCGGAGAGCGCAGTTTCGCCGGCCCGTTGCTCGCCTCCCGTTGTCTCGCGGCTCTGGGTCTTCCACAAATCCGTGGCCCTCGGCCGGGGCGCCGAAGCCACAGCTCTGCCGGAGGAAGCAGGCGCCGCCGCTCCTCGCTGACTTAGAGACCGTGGCGGCTCAACAGGGTAAAAGAAGGGGAAAAGATGAGGAGGAGGGGGGGGACCTTTGCCGGGCGGGCGGAGGGAAGAAAAGACTCACAGAAACTACTCGCAAGAGCTCCGGGATTCTCAAAAGCACTCCAGGGAGGCAAGGGTCTCTCGATGCAAAGGCCACGACCACGATCGTCTGGCGGAGGAGGAAAGATGTACCCCTTCTCCGCGCATACACACACACACACACACAGGACTACAGATCCCAGGCGGAGCGAAGTTTTCTCTCAGCAGGCACGGCGGGGGAGGGGGGGGAAAGCGGGAGCAGTTTCAGGGAGGGGGCTCCGATTGTGGAGGGGGGGTCTCCCTCCCCCAACTCCTTCTCCTCAGCCCGTCAGGCAGGCGATCCCCATGGCCGGAGGCAGCTGGCGTCTCTCCTGCGAGTGCGCGCGCGTCCCTTCTCCTTTCTGCCTCTAAAATCCAAAAGACGTGCCGGCGATGGGCTTTCCAAGAGCAGACGCCGCGGCTGCTCCGGCGGCGGCAGGCCAGGCGTCACTTGGCGGGGAGGGCACCGCGGCTCCTCTCCGGCCAGCGGCGGG